ACCGATTCATCAATTACCTGAATTTCGAACTGAGCTCCAATCTGTCCTTTCGCAGTACAATTTAGAAGATATGTATAACGCAGATGAGACGGGTCTTTATTGGAAGTTAGAACCCCATAAGTCACTTGCTAGCGGACCTATTAGTGGACTAAAAAAACCAAAAGACAGAATTACTATCATGCTTATATGTAACGCGACTGGAACTCACAAATTACCTCCATTATTTATTTATAAATATAAAAATCCACGCTGTATTCACAATATTGATAAACGAACGCTGCCTGTGCAATACTTCTGGAACAATGCATCATGGATGCAATGCTCTATTTTTAAAACCTGGATCAAACAATTTAATAGAGAAATGGAAAAAAAACGGAGAAACATTTTATTATTAATAGATAATGCTTCATCACATCAATTAGCAGAAAGTGAAATAGAAGAATTAAGTAATATTAAATTATACTTCCTTCCGCCGAACACAACTTCTCATCTTCAGCCGATTGACCAAGGCATAATAAGTTCATTCAAAGTAATTATCCATGTACATTATTTTCTTATGCTTTAATAAAAATAACTTATATTTATTTTCGTTATAATTAGGTTCACTATAGAAAATTATTATGTGAAGATAGAATTCGAGCATTTGACGAACACCATAAGCTTAATATTGAAATTCCCAAATTAAATATTTTGAATGCAATTAACTGGACTGCGCAAGCGTGGAATAGTGTCACTAATGATACAATATATCATTGTTGGCAAAAAACAGGTATTTTGCCTAATGATAAAATGCACGAAGGAGAAAGTGAATTAAAAAATGAATTAGAAGCCGAAGAAAATGAAATTCAGTTACTTATACATCAAATGAATGTGGATAATATTGTAGCAAGCGATTACATTAACATTGATACTAGGATAGAAATAACTGATATAATTGATGAAGGGGATATAATTGCTGCAGTACAGGAAACACCGGAGGAAGAAGAAGATAGGGAAGAGAAAGAGAAAGAATGCAATACAGTATCAAATATATTTGCTTTGAATAGCATTCAAATTATATTCAACTATTTACAACAAAATCCTGACATAAAAGTAAATATATCTGTAATCTCAGGATTGAAAGACTTACAACATCAAATTGGAAGAAAGCAAAATGCTTCTTTAAAACAGCTTACGTTGGAAAATTTTGTAAAAAAATAAATTCGTATATAATATTTAGATACTTTTGTTATTATTAAATATTTGATATTCGCCTATTGCTTATACATATGTATTTAAATAAAAAGCAAATTTTTTTTAATAAAATATTATGAAATT